CACACACACACACACACACACACTGCTCCTACCTCCCACACGCACTCTCACAACATGTCGAACTTGGCGGCCCGCTTCGCTGTGCCATTGGGCCTGGGTGTGATGGCGCTCCAGGCGTCGCTCTACGACGTTCCCGGTGGATACCGCGCGGTGATGTTCGATCGATTCCAGGGTGTCAAGGACCTTGCTACGGGCGAGGGCACGCATGTGCTGGTGCCGTGGCTGCAGAAGGCGATCCTGTACGACGTGCGCATCAAGCCGCGCAACATCTCCACCACCACCGGCTCCAAGGATCTGCAGATGGTGTCGTTGACGCTGCGTGTGCTCAGCCGTCCGGACATCCAGCACCTGCCCAAGATCTACCAGTCTCTCGGCATCGACTACGACGAGCGTGTGCTGCCTTCCATCGGAAATGAGGTGCTCAAGGCCACCGTGGCGCAGTTCGACGCGGCCGAGCTCATCACGCAGCGCGAGGTGGTGTCGGCGCGCATCCGCGAGGACCTGCTGAAGCGCGCCAAGGAGTTCAACATTGTGCTCGAGGACGTGTCGATCACGCACATGACGTTCGGCCAGGACTTCACCAAGGCGGTCGAGCAGAAGCAGATTGCGCAGCAGGACGCTGAGCGTGCCAAGTTCATCGTCGAGAAGGCCGAGCAGGAGCGCCAGGCGAGCGTCATCCGCGCCGAGGGCGAGGCCGAGGCGGCACAGACCATCTCAAGGGCGCTCGAGAAGGCCGGCGACGGACTGCTCACCATCCGAAGAATCGAGGCGTCCAAGGATATCGCCTCGACGCTCAGCAACGCAAAGAACGTCACCTACCTCCCGCACGGTCAGGGCATGCTGCTCAACATGCAGACCTAAGGCGCGGGTAGTCGCAGCCTCTGTTCCTATTGTAGTTCTATATCACAGCGCAATCCATCACCACTATCTCACGACCATTTCCGCGTCAAGGCACGCACGTGTAGGACTCTTTTCCAAACCATCTTCTAGCGGGACGGGTAGCGGGACGGGAACAGAAGGGTGTACGTCTAGGCGGACTGGTTCCAGACGCCGGAGGGGTGGAGTCGCTGTGGGTAAAAACGCAGGAGCGTGAAGATGGTGAGTTGGTTGAGTGCGACTTTGGTGCTTGGGTGCGTGCGGACTTACTTCGTTGGGAATTTGGATGTTGGCAAGCGCAGTGAGCACCGACTTGCCCGCCCAGTGTTCGAGCGTCTCGCACTGTTCGGGCGAGATGAATGCCGAGGTGTTTCGGTTTGCAAAGCTGTTCCGAGCCAAACTTCTGTCAGTATCTGCTCGCGTGTTGCTGGCCGGGGAGTTTGGAACGCACATCATCTGAACGGCACCGGTCCTGATCTTGCCCTTGTGCACTGGCTGTTCGCCGTTCTTTTGCGCCAGGTCAATGGCATCATTCGCAGCGGCAGCAAGGTGGTTGAGGAGGAAAGTTTCCATCTCGAGCGTGGCCACACCAGGTCTTCTTTCCCTGATCACATCGATCAGATTCGCGTTGGCATCGACGAATGCGGGGTCGATCCTGCCCTGACTTCCGTAGAAGCTATCCGCCGATGCATTCACCGTATCGCCAGCAGCCTTGACCTCCTCGCCACCGAAAAGCTCGGCGCTGTTTTTGGGTTTATCAGCCTCGAGTGCGGCGAGCAGTGCATCGTGGACCTCCTGATCCGCGTCGAGAGGCTTGGTGATCAGATACGGCTCGAGCGCACCAGAGCGTCGCTCATCGGCAGTGGTGTCGTGGTGAAAGTAGTCGTAGTTGCGCGAGATCCCAAACGATGCCTTGGGGACGACGACGGTGCCGATGCCGTATTCGGGCTGAAGCGAGCCGCACGAGCCAAGACGAACGATGATCATCTCGCCCTCGACAACCGCACGGCACTCGCGCACGAAAAAGTCGACCACGGAAAAGCCCATACCGATGGCTACGATCGAGATGGGCACGCCCTTGAACGTGCCCGTGAGCGTAAGGAAGTTGCGCTGCGAGTTGAACTCGAACAGCGGCTTGCCTCCGTCGAAGGCCTTGGCAATGCGGTGCGCGCGCACCTGGTCGCCAACCGTGATCTAAATGCATCCAGCACAATCGGCGAGAGGGTCAGCTTGTGCTGTGCGCGAGCAGTTGACACAAGCAGAAAGGATGAACTTACGATACGGTTAGCAACCCTAGTCCGATCCAAGAGCGAGCCACAGATAAGAGTGCAGCGTGAGCACAGGGGCATACGGCAAGATCATTCTACATCGCCCACAGCACTTACTGTCCAGCCTTGGTGGCTACGTGATACGTTCGGCCTTGGGCATCTTGCTGTGATCGTCCGGAAGCGAAAGCAAAGCCGTACCAGTCAATACCTTGTCGTCACGAGGGCGAGACCAGTGCAGCACGAGGTCGGGATTACATACGGGGAAGTTGGCGTTGCTGAGGACGTCCTTCATCTTTGCTCTATTGTGTATGTAGCAGAGTGGCTTGCAGGAAGGAGACACGCTTCGGATTGAGAGTCGGAGGGAGAAGGCTATATAGTTGGCCGGTTGCGGGGTCGAGAAGAATGTGCGGGTGAGGTTCGGCGTAAGCGGTGTCAGAGGATCCGGGCGCCGAACATGTTGGCTCCTGCGAGCGGCCACGCCCAACTTGGCCTTCCGAGGATCCGAGCACGCGCGGAGATGGCCGAAGCGGTCGTTTCCATCGCCGCCCGATGATGACTCTATCGGGATGATATCGGGACTCTATCGGGATGCGAGGCGCCTCCACACCGAGGCCAGTTTCACACGGCGGGTTGACAATGCGCCTCGATGCGGAATGCGCGCCGACTGCAGCTGGGTCCTAAAGCTCGCGGTGCCAAATTTAGATCCCGCGCCTGGAAGGCTGCCTCTCGTAGCTCGCTCGCTCGCCTCTAACTACCATCTCACCCTGGCTGTCCATCCGCCACCGCAGCTACTTCGACATCATGGTCGACCCGGTTTCGTACGTCAAGATGTTCTTCCGCTCCGTGTTCTCGGTGTTCAGCCCATCGACGACCACCGTGTGGCAGAACAACATCGCCTATTCGATCACGCTGCACAATCCGCGCGTGCTGCTCTACCGCGGGCCCGAGACGTACCTCACCTTCTCCGTATACGCACAGGCGTACTCGGCCGAAGCGCGCAAGCAGCTCGAAGCCGTCTCGGCAAGTCAGATCGCCGACATTGTCAAGAACACCAATGTGCAGCTGGTGCAGAAGGGCTGGATTGCCGGTGCGGTTGGATGGAACGCTGCCGGCTACCTCGGGGTCGCCACCAAGAAGGGCTGGGACGTGACGCCCGCTGGACGCGCTGGGTGGAAGGATACCCAGGCCGAGTCGGCGTCGCTGTCGCTGCAGCAGCAGGAAGACGAGGATTACGGCGAAAAGCCTCAGCAAAGAGCTTCGAACGAGTACGAAATGAGCACGCTCAGCAACAACGGCTCGTCGGCTTCGCTCGACTCGCAGCAGACGCGTCATATCGCCACCAAGCGCAAGGAGAAGATCGACAAGCAGATTCGCACCCAGTCCACTTCCCAAGACTCGTCCTCCACGACTCGTGTTCTGGGCACCTACAAGTGCCGCGTGCCCGTCGAGACCGGCGATGGCTACTTCCGTCTCTGGGTCACACTGCCCTCCGTCGTCCGCGGTCAGGTCGGCATTGGCAGTCCGACGTTCCGTCTGTTCTCCTTCTCGCTCACCTCGGCCTCGCCACGAGGAGCAGCGCTACTGCCGGTGCCCGTGATTGTGCCCGAGCTCGCGCTGCGCTCCGTCTCGATCGCACTCACCACGCTCGTATACGGCCTCTTCCCCGTCGCCGCGATTGTCGACAAGCTGCTCCCGCGCTGGATGTCGCGTCGCTTCATCAACTGGATCTACAACCGCGTAGGCGCAAAGGGAAAGACCGACCAGCTCCGCCAGAAGTACAATGTGGACGAGAAGGTCGAACAGGCTAAACAGCAGGTCAGAAAGGTCCCCTTTGCCAGTGCCGGTATTCGCACCGACTGGGATCTCCACAGGGATGCAAGCCGCGGCAGAGGCGGCTGGGCTTACCACTGGTGATCCTGCCCCAGCCCTGGATATCTATGCTTGGAACCGGACTCGGTGGGTGTGCGTCAGAAGCTTGCATCGCGCCTGTCTTAGCTGCATCTTCCTGAAACGAATTCCGCCTGCCCTGGTCAATTGCGCACATTTTCATCTCTCGTGGACTCACTGACCGAGCTTGAAGCTCACGCAACGTGATGGTGTACAAAGTATGATTGCGATCGTGTCTACGCGTGCGAAGGTGTGTCGAGGAATCGTTTGGTGCGTGCGATGAGCTGTCGGAGCTGGTCGACTGCGCTTCCTCCCGTCTCCTTGACGTCCTCGGGCGCCGCGCTCGGTGGCGAAGCCTCGCTGCGCACGCGCTTAGCCCCACCTGCGCCCGCAGCCCGCGCGTCCTTGGCGATCCTCCTTGTCTCTGCTGCTACCTCGCGCACCGCCGCCGCACACAAGTTCGCCATGCCCTCCACGGCTGCACTCCAATCCGCCCCGTGCAGTGGCGCAATCCACACCCGCTCTAGTGCCCCCAGTGCGATGCGCAACATCCCCTCGGCATGCATCCGGTTCACATGCGCCACCGTCGCCTCCAGCCCTCGCTCCGGCAGTGTCGACAGCAACCGGTAGCGCAACGCCTCCCGCTGCTCCGCCACGCCCTCGGGCAGCGCTTCCAGCTGCTCCAGCGCCATCTCCACCAGACCCTTGCGAGTCGGAACCGCAACCTCGACCACCTCGGCGTCTGGCGTGAGCTCGGAACGACTGACAATCGCTCGAACCACGTAGTTCGCCAGTGCGCTCAGGATGCACAGCGCCTTGCATGCCGCGTCCTCCGCCTTGGCTGGTAGATCCACTGCGGTGCCGGATAGTACGCTTGGTGGAAAGACACATACGAGGTCGCAGAGCAGCACGCACGTGCGCGACCACTGGTCCACCAACTCGCGCGCCACCTCGTCCAGCGTCACGCGCCGAGCGCCGTCGAGGTCAAGATTCGGCGCCAGATCAGGCATCGCCCGCGCTAGCAGCATCCTCAGCGAGCTCTCGATCGATACAGATGCGTCGGCTAGCTCCAGCACCCCGACACGCTCGAATGCGCGCGAGAGCAGCGCCGACCCTTCGTGCGAGTCGCGGCCGTCCACAGCTCCCGTGCTACGCACGGTCTTGGACGGATCAAGCCCGAGCGAGGTGATCAGACTTGCGGTGGCGTCTTTGGCAACAGATTCGGAGGCGGTGCCGTCAGCCATCTCGACATCCTCGATCGCACCGTCCGAGGTCGCGCTTCGTGTCGACTGCGTGTCCGTGTCGCCCCACGTCACCAGCAGCAGGCGACAAGCGAGACGGCTCTGCTTGACAACGCGCGACTGCGCAATCTCCTCGAGCCTGCTGCGGTCCTCTGTGACCATCGCGCGTCGCTGCGAAGCGGAGCTCGCTCGGCAAGCAATCGGATTGGTCTCAAACACGACGAGTCCAACCTCGCTGTGCTCCTCGTGCTCGGCCAATACCATCGATTCGAGCGTCGCGCCGTCGCCGCTGCGAGTAGCATCCACCAGTGCCAGATGCGATCCGTCGGCCAATCCCACCTCGAGCACATCTCGTCCGTCATCTTTGGAGGCGGGCACCGAGGGGGAGAAGCCGAACTTGACACGCAGCCAGTTGGACGCGACGTGCTGACCGGGCGCGCCAGAGTACAGCACCACCAGTCCGTCCAGGTCAGCGGGGCGGAAGTGCAGCAGCAGCTCCTCGACGTGGTCCGCGAGCCGATCCAGCAGCGATCCCTCAGCCCAGAGCTCGCCGCGTTGGCGCCGCACACGTGTCCACTGCGCCGATAGCTCCGCATCGTCGCCATGCGCGGATCGCTCGCCCGCCAGCTTGCGCCTCTGCGGCGAGGTGACCTGCACGTCGCGCCCCGACGACGTGCGTCGCACACCCGTCAGTAGCGACTGCGAGATCGACGCGCGTTTGCTGTGAGTGCCTTGAGCAGAGCCGTTGGAGGTGCCCGAGGCATCGACCTGAATCCGGCCCAGGACGTTTCTCCGCTTGATTTCGCTTCGAATCGTCTCCAAGCGCTGTTTCTGGTGCTCGCGATCGCGTCGCTCCTCCAAAGCGTCCCGCCAGTGCTGCCATGCCCTCATGGTCCCGCTTCTTGAGCGCAAGACCTCCGCAGCTGCCTTGCGCGCCGCGTCCTCCGCTGCAGCCGCGACCCGCTCCTCGGCCAGCTGCGCCCACATCTTGTCGCTCAGGCGCGTCAGGAGCTCGTCTCGCGAGGCGGCTCTGCGACGCGCGCGCTCTTCCTGAACCGCAGCAGCAGCGGTCTTGGCGGCGGCGGACTGGATCGCTTCGCTCGAAAGCGTCTTGAATGCCCGTTCGACTGCTTGCGCACGTGCGGCTTCTTTGCGCTTGACTCGCACCTTGGCTTCTGCCTCGGCGACAGCCGCAGCCGCGGCGCGAGATGCTGCGGCCGCAGCAGGGTCAGACCCGCGACGCTTCTGAGACGTAGCACCTGGCGCAGAGGAGCCAGCGTCAGCATCGGCCAACTTGGAAGGTCCAGACGCGGCATCTCCGGGCTTTTCCGTCTTGCTGTCTTGAGGTTTGGACGACGAAGAGAAGAAGGACGGCATCGTTGTCTTGCTGGGCTCGGCATCTTTGGTCTGCGAGGGTCCAAATGTGAAAGGCGAGGCCGGCTTCGCGTCAGTAGTCGCAGCAGCTGAGGGAGCTTTGGTGTTTGGCTGACCGAACGAGAAGCTGGGAAGGGACGAGGGTGTCATCTGCTTGGCGGCCGACCCAAGCGAGGGGATGGGAGATTTGGTGTCGGGCGCAAGAGTCGTGGCAGTCGGTTTTGAGTCAGTGGCAGGCTCCTTGCCGAAGCCCCCGAATGACGGCAAGCCAGACTGGGCGGGCGATTCTTGCTTCGTGGCGTTGCTGCCACCAAACCCACCAAAGCCGCCAAAGGAGCCCGCCGGTGCGGCTGTCGACGGTGCGCTGCTCGCAGAACCCGAGCCAAATGCGGAAGGCATGAAGCTGGTGGCAGCAGCCGACAGCTTCGATGGAGAAGACGCCGAGAATGCCGAGGTACCCTGGCCACCTTGGCCTGCCGTTGATTGGCCGAATTTGAGCATGCTGATGGAGTCGAGACTACCATCGGCTTGTGAAGGCGCCTTGAAGTCCAGACTGGATGAGGTTGGACCAGGCGCCGGCTTCGCCATGGATGATACCGGAGCGAAGCCCTGCGCCGCATTGGGCATATCTAGCAAGATCGCACCTGCCCCCGACGCACGACCGTCGATCACGTCGGCGCTCTTCCACGAGCCACGCTTGGCTTCGACCATGGTTAAGCTGAATGGCGAGATTAGCGGTTTGTCCTCTTTGACCGCCGCGGTCTTGTGGATCTTGACAGCCGCAGGCGTTGGTCCGTCATACTCGAACTCGAGACCAAGATGCGTGCATAGAGCGATCACCTGTTCGTCAGAGTCCATGGCTAGCGCATTGCGCATCGTCTCGATCGGCAGACCCCTGTGCTGCGCCATGTAGGCTTTTCCCATCGCTTTGACCGCGCCAATGCGCACGGAGCTGAACGAGTTTTCGGCGAGACAGGCCATGAGGTAATTGACGCTAGGCTTGCGCAGCTCGGCGAAGAACTTGGAGAAGAAGTTGAGCGTGGCCTCGGTGTTTCTAGGCTGACCGCGCTTCTCGAGGTTGTTGGAGCGTTGTGCCAGCTGTCGTAGATTCAACGCAGTTTGCACAGCGGGAGCGCGGAAGATGTCGCCAGGTAAGAGCTCGGCTTCGCGCAGCGTCTCGGGATCTCGAAGGTGGAGCAGGAGATTGTATGCGCGGAACTCAGCCTCGTTCGGAGATGGCTGGACAACAGCGCCCGCACTTGTGGCTGACTTTCTGCGGTTGTCGTCGTAGAACTCGATGAGACTGCGCATCGTCTTGCGGAGCTGCTCGAGTTCCTGTTGCTCGCTCCATCCTTCTGCGCCGGGACCTCCTCGCCAGTGCAGACAGAGGATGTGGTATCTTGCGATGCGCTCGTGGCATTCGATAGCAATGGCACCGCCTTCGCTTTGCACGATAAAGTCCTGCCGCACCGCTCGGGTTCGATTCCAAAGGAAGCCCTGGACAGCCGTGAATCTTGGGTCGTTGGGATCCGCCGGAAGGAGGTCGTGAAAGAGGTAGTCCAGGGTGCGTTTGAGGACGGGCGGCGGACGCACGTCTTCGGGCAGAGGCAGCTCGCGGCCAGCGGCGGGGCGACGGTAGATCTTGACGGCGATGCGGGGATCGACTCGGTCGGTACCCGGATACACTTCGAGCGGGTCGAGCTCCTTTTGAAACTCTCGCTCCTCGCGCTCGAATTCGGGGCACATATCCTGGCATGTGCCGACGAGCTTGACTGCTAAGGCGAGGTCGGTCGGCTTGTCCGGATCGGGAAGCACGCCGGACTTGATGTAGGCGTTACGAAGAGCTTCCCTCCCGCCCTTCATCTCGAGGAAGCGATTGCCCACTTTGGGAGCTTCCTCGAAACGCTTCTTGCGCAGCTCATCCTCATCTTCCGCGCCCTTGCTTCCGAAATTGGCACTTGGCATTGGCGAGCCGGACCCTTCAGCTGGCGTCGAAGTGCCGGTGCGGTCTTTTCTGAGGAAGTTGGAGAAGGAGCTCGTGGGTGCAGCGTTGGCAGGAGCAGGAGCAAAGGTGGACGGCGGAGCTGATGCAGCCGGAGACGGCGCCGGAGCGGCAGTGGTGGCAAGAGCAAGTTTGGCTTGAGTTGCGGCAGGCGTTGAGCCGAACGCTGTTGAGTTTGAGCTACTTCCAAAGGCGGAAGAGGAGGTCGAGCCGAAAGCGGAAGAGGACGAGCTCGCGCCAAAAGCAGAGGCCGAGGCAGGAGCGGCTCCCTGCGGCGCTCCGAATAGTGATGGGGAGCCAGAGGTGGGGTTGGTTGAAGAAGATCCAAATGCAGAAGAGCTTTGACCAAAGCCATTGCTTGGCGGTATGCTAGGGGTAGAAGCACTCATCTGTCCGAAACCAATCGATGCGGGTTTGGGAGCTGGAGCTGAGGCAGTCTGAGAGGAGCCAGCGGCGCCGAAGGCAGAAGGAGTTGCGGGAGCTTGTGCAGCCGACTGGCTACCAAAAGCTGATGGCGTCGCGGCAGGCTGTGTGTTGAAGGTGGTCGACTTGTTAGCGAATGGTCTCGGTCGAGGTCTAGGTTGGTAGGCATGGTTTCCGCTGGCGCCTGCTAGATTGGGATTTGCGTCCGTCGGTCCTCGCTGGCTGGTGTCCCCATCCACGTTTGACACGAATGGCCTGCCAGGTCGCGCAAGACTACCGCCTCTACCGCCTCGAAAGGATCCGGACATTGGCGGTCTTCCGTCCTGTCCAGGGCCCCCCGGGCCTGATGGCCGTGCGGTGAAGGGTCTTGGTCGGTTCCCGAATGGTGACTGTTGCTGTTGCTGTTCCTGCCCCTGCTGGTGTTGATGCTGACCCGGATTAAAAGGACGCGAGTTGCTGAAAGATGACTGCTGCTGAAACTGTGGTCGCGGTCTGCTGGTGAATGGCCGAGGACGGCCGAAGCCAGTCTGTTGCTGCCCGCCTTGCGAGAAGCCGGACGTGAAGGCAGATGGTGCATTGCTGGGGCCTGAAGGAGGTCGAGAGAAGGTGTTGGGTGGCGCACTGCTTGTCGATGCCGATGGAGGCTGTGGCCGGGCGAAAGAGCCGAAGCTTGAGCCACCAGCACCTGGTGTAGATTGGCCAGAGCCGGGTCCGAATCCAGGATTAGATCCCGAGGCAGCACCGAAGCTGGAGCCAAAGGCGGAGCTAGATCCAAAGCCAGATCCGGATGCAGCCGCAGAGCCGAAGGCGGAGCCGAATCCTGAGCCCGAGCCCGTACCTTGCTGCTGCATGATGGACACCGCTGCAGCCTTGTATGAGCGGCTGTGTAGCAGGAGATTGGTGATGAGGAGACGACAGGCGATCCGGTGGTCTTTGCGCCCAGACACGGCCTCACTCACCGGCTCAATTCGACAATTTTCGGGAGTCGGAAATGTCAACTTAGGCCGTTCGACGTCTTCACCAAGCATGACCTCCAACTTGGTGTCATCCCTCGACTCGTATAGACACGCCTTGCTGCGTTCGACTATGTTGACGATGAGTCTGACAAGGCCATCAAGCAGCCCAAGGGAAAGCACCTTGTCGTCTTCGGCCACGTTGTAATCGACCGTACTTGCAGGCAAGAATCGCGCTCGCTTTCTTCATTCAACGTAGCGTTTGTTTTCAACTCTTGTACTCACCCTTCCTTCCGTAGCACGACCTTCAGCTCTCTTTTCGTATCCGCCGGCTCTTCTCAACAGACCAGCCTACGACCAGCCTATGACCAGCCTATGCACCATTGGAAAGAGTTGGTAACCTTCATTATCCCCTATGCTCTCCGGGACGCTGCCGGAGAGCCACTAATCATACATGGAAGCGTAAGTCAAGAATCGTGATGCGGAGCGGCGGAAGCGGACACAGCAGCAAAGCAAGCATCCCTCTATGCGAGGCCAAGCGGGCGTCTAGTAGCGGTACTTGAAGTAAGGCGACTCGTCACCCATGTCGGCGATCTCCTCCTTGGACAGACGAGCAGCCTCGCCCGAGTCGATCATGCGCTGCTTGCGCTTGTTGGCAAGGTGGAGCAGGCCGGCGAAGGCGAGCGCCGACGAGAAGGCGACGGCGTTCATGCCGATGTTGATGTAGTGCGCGCGGTGGTAGTAAGGAGCCTGCTTCTTGGGGAAGATGTTGCTCGAGATGGTACCGGCCAGACCACCAAAGCCAACGATGATGGCAATGCAGACGGAACGCTTCGTCTTACCACCAATCGTCTGGGTCAACGAGGCGACCACACCGGGGAAGGCAGCGTACGAACCAGCAGCCGAGATGAACTGCGCACCGTACGCCACCTTGGGGTTGCTGTTGCTGAAGTGAAGCGACAGCGCCCAGCCGATACCGGAGATCAGGGTGCCGAGGCAGATGAAGGGGAAGCGAATACCGAGGCGGTCCGACGAGTAGGCGAAGATGACCACGGTCACGGCGGCAACGGTGTACACGGGCACGGTGTACAGGTTCGAGTCGATGGCGTTGTACTTGAGCGAGTTCTTCAGGATGGAGGGCAGCGTCAGGGCGATCGAGTAGAGCGGCGTGATGGTCGTCACGTAGCAGATCAGCGTGAAGAGCGTCTTCCAGTCCTTCAGACCGGCCCAGACGAACTTCCATGCAAACTCGTCGTTCATCGGGATGTCGTTGCCGTCGAACTGAACGCGGTCGCTCATGTACACCTTCTCGCTCTCGGTCAAGAACGGCGCCTTCTCGATGCCGTCGAAGAGAACGAAGTAGGCGACAATGCCGGCGACAATGGTGAGTGCACCCTCGACAAAGAAGATGAACGACCAACCCTGGTACTCTCCAGACTTGGCCTTGGCAAGACCGAAAGCGAGGAGACCACCGAAGGCACCAGCGATGGTGGCCGCACTGAAGAAGAGACCGATACGCAGCTGGATCGACCTGCGCGGATACAGGATCGTAAGGTAGTACGAGACACCGGGGAAGAGACCAGCCTCAGCAGCGCCGAGAAGAATGCGGAAGGCGAGGAGCGACTCGAAGTTCTTGGAGAAACCGGTGACCAGCATGACGAGACCCCAGACGACGACGATGATGGGCAGCCAGAGCTTGGCGCCGATCTTCTTGAGCACGAGGTTGGAGGGCACCTCGAGCAGACAGTAGAGGCCGAAGAAGACCGAGAGTGCGGCGGCGTACTCCTGGTCGGTAAGCTTGAGCTGCTTCTCCATGCCGAGCACACGGGCGTTGCCGATGGCCGTCCTATCGAGGAAGGAGAAGAGGTAGAGCACCGAGCAGATGGGCAGCACGTGCCAGTCGAGCTTGCGAATCAGGCGGGCCGTCTCCTTGGGGTCCTCGATGGTCGTGGCGACGGCGTCGGCAGCAGTGGTACCGGCGGTCAGCACAGGTGCCATGACGACGCCGTCCTCGAGGCGGGAGTCATCCTTCTTCTCGATCGAGGCCGAGTCGGGAGAGTCTCCCAGGCTACGGCTGTTGTAGTAAGGCGAAGACATGATGCCTAATGCAATCGCTTGCTGTGAAGCAGTTGTTTGTGGAACGAAGCGCGGCGCGGGTAGGGAGATGTGCGAGAAGGCGTGGAGGAGAGAGTCACGACAGAGGGGGGAAGGGTGGCCTGTAGGGAAAAGGACGAGGGAAGAAAGGTGACGATAAGCAACCGAGCGACGACCTCTTTATACCCTGAGAGGGGAGCGAACGGCTGGGTCGGACGCAAATGCGGGGGTACCAGGGGCGACGAAAGCGGGGTGCAGGAGGGAGGCTGAGCCAACCGCATCCACGTTGCCAGGCGGGCACAGGGTGTTGGAGAGGAGAGCACGGCGACTGTAATCAGCGGTACTCGTCTAGCCCTGAAGCAGCATGGTGTCTGCAGTCGAGGCCCAATTGCGAAGCGAGCGAGGAGCGGCGTGGGGCGAGTAGGCGAGCAGCATGCGGCCGTGCAGAAAGAGAGACATGCAGTCAGGGCGCTGCATGATGCACCCCGAGAGGCGCACACAGGATCCGGGGCGAGCCAATGAGATTAAGCCGCTGAGATTCGATGGGACCAGCTCAGCTCATTCGGAGCGCTTCACGTTGCTCCAACGTAAGGGAGTGGAGCAGCCTCTGCCATCGGTTGATGGGGGGACGAACAGCGATAGCAAAGAGTCGCGTCCAGCAGTGCTGACGTGCTCCAGCCATCTTCCGCCCTTGGAAGGCCGGCTAAACGGCGCAGGAGACAGATCGGGTTTCCAAATGCACACTGGCGGGGAGCGGGAAGATCAGAGCAAGGCGAAAAATGGGCTGAGGATTGGAAGATTGCGAGTCGTCTCGGCGTCGACGGCGATCCAGGAACTCTCGTGGGCTCTGGATCAGGGCAGCAGATTTGTTACTGGATGCCACGCGGCGAGTCTCGACACAGGCAGAGGGGCAGAGGCCGACGTTGATCAGGGTGGGCGACGTGCGATTGTGGATTCATGCCCCCAATCTCTTGGCATGACGAGGCGGGGGAAGGGGACCACAGCCATGGATCTGCTCGGCAAAAGCAAAAGAAAATCGCGAGCTTTGTTGCAGCCGAGTTGCCTCGACAGGCCATCGCTGGTATGGGGGCACCGAGCTGCACAGGGCTGCAGCCAGCGCTAAAGATGGCCTCGCTTTGCAGGCGGGGTTGTTTTGGGCATGTGCAGTCCTGCTGCGATCCGGTAGCGAGGCGACACCAAGATCCGCGCCCAACAAATGCGAGGCCCATCGCGCTAAAAGCCTGCATTCTTAGGAAATGGCCCGCTCAACTCCGCCGCGATCGTAAGCAGAGCTCAGGAGCAGGTACCGCGACAAGACGGCGAGGGCCTAAGATGGCCCGTTCCTGGAAGCCTGCGGTTTGAAGCCGCAACGGAAGAAAGCCAACAGGCGCCAACGGAGAGGTTGGAAGAAGAGTAAGCGGGCGGGGATAAGGGCACGGCGAAACGTGGAGAGGAGTAGGAAATGCTGCGTTGGAGCGTGCGAAAATTCGAGCTCAGCACGGCCGAATGCCCGTCCGTCCGCTCAGCCGCCGTCGCGGCCATTGCTCCCCGCACGTCTCGCCCGCCCGCTTCTCCGCTACTGGCCGTTCCAAGGCAGCTCAAGCCCGAGTCGAGCCAAGGGGAAACCGGGGATCGCCGCATCAGACAAATGCCCTAGGCTTCCAGAATCCCCTCGTACGCCGTCGGAAAGACGTTCCAGGCTCCGACTGGATGTCCATCCTCGTTTGGCCGTCAAGATCAAGTCGTTTGCAATCAACGCAGCCACACCAAAGCAGAGATGGGCACAGCTGCGAAATCGACAAGAGCTTGGATCGAGCTGCGACGTCGAGATAGATCCGGGTCGATAAGCCCGGCGCGGAGGGTCGCCGGTGGTGGAGGGCAGATCGGTGCGGGACACGGACGCCAAGGGACTCTGGCATGGTTTTGCCGGAGCAGTGGCGTGGCAATGAGCACGGAGATGGGCGACGACTGTTGGTAAGCACGCGAGACCAAGGAGCTGCATGGGGTGCATGTCGCTCACTGCAGCAGCACACCAGTGTGGAGCCCAAGGATACAAACCGACACGGTCGCCATCCGACCCGGAAGGTGCTTGCTTCTTCCGTCACCTAACGGAAACATCCGCGCCTCATCGCACGCCCCACACAACACTGCTTTGTCCCGATGAGGCTGTCGTATCTCGCGGTGCAAGATAACACACGGGCCACGGCTGAACCGCTGCAACTGCGCTACCTTGCCGCTCATGTCCCGTTTGCATCCATTCTTCTGATTCCAACTTAGCGCTTCGTCTGTCCTGTATCAGAGCGACTGACGCGGCGTAGCTAGAAGGCCGATGAAGTGTTGGCGGCAAACGCGCTTCGGAGCGACGAGGCTGTGACGGCCAAGCGTCTGCATGAGTCGCCCAGATCCACGCGAGCTCTGGGCACGACTGACGTGCTTGTCAACCCCACATCCGAGCCTGGCCACGTTGCAACAGGCGATGCGGAAAAAGACCAAAATTGGAAATTGCCCAAATGGCCTTGGAGTGGGCGGGTCCAGGCCTGGCGCCTCTCTTTGGGCAAACAGAGAGCAATCGGACGCCGTGTCGTGTCGAAAAGCGCCGCCATCGTCGCACAGGGTCGACGCGCGTCGACAGGCAAAAACGGTCGGCGCAGTCTGAAATCATGCACCTCGGAGTTCTTGGCGCTGCTCCACTTCCCCGCACCCGTTGTAGGCCTGGAGCCTGTCACTATCGCTCCTTGCCTCCTGCACCGGTCAACGATGCCTTTGCGCTGCACAGGCTGCCAGGCTCACACTGTGTAAGGCGTCGCAAGCGAGTCCTTGGCGTGGTGCCCCAACTCGACTTGGCAGCGTGCTGCTTCCTCGCCCGTGTGTCAGCCTCGATCCTCTTCGGCGAATCCGTTGGTATCTGGAGAGAGAAAGACAGGCACGACCGTTTCGGTTGTTCGCGCTTTCGGCAAATCCAAACGCTCATCAACGCCTTGCCCTGCAGTAGTGGCCTTTCGTGCTCGAGACTGTCTGCTCTCCGGCTCCGGGGGTGTCTCACGCCCTTCTCAAGACTGTGTGCTGGGACTCTGCTCTGCTTCCGGCTTAACGGTGCAGGATGGGCAGCCTCAGCTGAATTTCAAACCGGATCCGCACCACGGACTCCGTGCAGAGTTGGCGTCAAGCCCTCGATTCACCTCGTTGGCGAGATGCCGGTGACTGCAACAAGGCTCCAGGATCGCCTCCAAAGTCTCTGTGTACGATCACGGTCAATGGATTACCCGAGTGGTCCCCGTTGCCGGCAAGTGTGTTCCGATGCATGTCCGCGCCATGGTCCACGGGAGTCGAGATCGCTGCATCCACAAAATGCGGGGCCCCGTCGTACCCCGCTCTTCAGGATGGTTGGGGTTGCGGATTAAACAGGCTTTCCATCTGACGAGCTGGCGGTGAAGCTTGGGTCGGTATCTCAGACAGCCGGCATCCTGGTGTGGAGCGCGAATAAGTTCTGGCCTCGCCCTGACGATCCACAAAATTGCGGGGGTACGAGCAGCCCCGCCCATTCATGCAGGCACACAGCACATGCACAAACCGAAAGCGCTAGTCGAGCGAAACGAGCCGCTTATCCCCCTCGCGTCATCTCGCTAGCCAGCTGCACCCGCATTCTTCTTCACGCAGCTCCTCGTTCCTGAAGCAATCGAGTCGACTGTGTTGGTATGAGTGATGGTCACGCGGGATAGTTTCCAGACGCGGATGTCTCCGGGCAAGTCTGCTTTGCTGGCTGCTATGATCAGGCGATCATAGGGTACAGATTGTCGTCGTCCGACTCAGGATCAGGCAGTGCGACGAGCCTGCGTAGGCGAATCAGTGCTTCCTTGCGCAAATCTTCGTTGAGATGCTTGGAGATCATCGGGTTCCTTGCATTCTGCGCCGCTAACCCTTCATTGCCCATTCCGAGTTCCGACTGTGAAGCGCCCGTCGCTGCTCCTTGCCTCCCACTTTCTTCTCTGGAGACCGCCGTGACGATGGCGCGACGGACGCTTCGCAAATGGCCCACGGCCTCCTTGACCGTGCTCTGCAGCTTAGCAGTCTCGGCGGTGAGCTTCTTCTGCCGCTCGAGACTGGTGGCGATCTCGCGTTTCAGATAGGAGTCGAGCGCCTTTGCCTGCGCATACGACGTCTCGAGCGACTTGTGCAGGCCGCGCTCGTCGACTGCGTTGGCATTCTTGCTGCCCGGCATGTGGTGCAGCTCGATCAGTCGGAACTCGGGCGGAGGACCGACGAGCATCTGGCTGCCCCTTGCTTTGGCAAGCGTGGTGAAGAGCTTGCCCGAGCTTGTCTTGGCCCGCAGCACCAGCGGCTGCGTGGCACGCACCGTCGAACGTGACGTGTTGTTCGTCGTGAGCTCCCGGGTGTACTTTTGGTTGGACGCTACGCCCGATTCGATGCAGAATTGCAGCGCCTTTTGCACGTCTTTGAGCACCGACGCGAGCAACGGAGAGGCCTCCTTGAGCATCTGACGCGCGCGCTTCTCTCGGTTGGATTCGGCTTGCATGAAGGTCTGCACTTGCGTCCACACCTTGACCTCGAACTCGGCCACGTCCTCTGCGGGGAACTCGGGGGTGACGCCGTCGAACAGCGTTCGGTCGATCTCGTCGAGCTCTTTGGCTACGCGTGTGTACTCGACCAAGTCCCCTTCCAGCCGGCTTTTGGCATCGAGCTTGGAGGTCAGCGCTGACCGGTTCTTCTCGAGTTCCGCTTCGTGAGCGGCTTGGTGGGCTGCAGCCTGTTCGGCCTCGTCGTGTGCTTTAAGAAGCAGGCGCGATCGGGTTCCACGCTTGTTCATGATGCGCTTGGCCAGCGTGCTGCCCATCTTGGCGTGGGCCTGGCGCTTCTCGTTCGACACAGCTTGCAAGGTCTTAAGCCGCACTTCCTGACTCTTGACCTTGCCCGTGATGGCAAAGATGTCGTGCTGCACCGCGTCTAGGCTGGCGACAACATCGCCTAGGGCTGCAAGTGTGTCGGTGAGCTTGGTATGGCGCTCGTAGAAGCCGACGACGCGCTGACGGAGCGGTGGTGCGTATGCAGGAACCCCGCACTCGGAAGCAGCATTGCTGCCTACATTCCCGTGGGCCAGAGCGAGAGTAGCAGCCGTAGTGAGGGCGGCAGCGGAGCCGGCGACGACGAATGGTGGAGGTGGGACTGAAGGGTCGGCATCCTCTGTGCGCAACAGATCCTGCACATCGTCAAAGAGCGCATTCCGGGCCCCACTGTACACCCTTGGCAGGGTGGGTCGTTGCATCTTGATCATGGCTGGGCCAGGCAGGCTACGCTGCCTCCATCTGTGGATCTGTGCAATGTCGTTTTTTCCTGCAATCTAGGGATTTCGACAGCGCGTTGCTACATTCGAGAAAGATGATGGCGGCATGGGATCAAGCGTGGATATCAGCAGCTGGAAGCATCGACGATGAGCAGCCAAAACATTGCGTGCAGGGTCCAGGGCCGCGGTTGTCAGCATCCGAGCATTCCGCGCGCATCGCCACTGTCGCACCCAAACCTGAGAATTTTGGTGAAAGCAGAGCAGCATCATCTTGCAGTGACGCCGCGCCAAAAATGTGCAAATTGCAACCTGAATGAAACTGTCGGTCTCACACTGAGAGGGCTGGAAAATTATCGCACGAGAAAAGGCTAATTTTCGGCAGAGGCTTCCACGTCGATCCATGGATACGGCGCAGCACAGCCCGAGGGTCCCGCACGCATGCAGGGCGGGCGCAGCTGTCGACGTGGCACTCGCAGCCCCACTCGCTCTGGCTCCAGCTCACTCTGGCTCGACTGCACGCATCCCCAAATCCCCCGCAACTCAGCCACGTCCGACACACCTCTCCACCACCACCACCCGCCTCCTCCCCTTCCTTCTCGACCGCGCCACCCTCGACCTTCCACGTACTCACCTTCCTCTCTGGCAGAGCGACTGTAATCAACCACCATCGAACACTGCATCTCTCTGCCGCCCCCTCTGCTTCAACGCTTAGGGTCCCTACTCTCCTCTCCCTTCCACGTCGTCACCCTCCCAACAAGTCGTCGCGCCATCGCGCCAACTCATCCTCTGGGCCATCTCCTCCTCTTCGCTGAGCGCTGGAGAGCATTCCCTCGTGTCGTCGTCCGTCCTTCTCTGTCTCGCGACCTCCTTCCAACTCATCGATTCGACCAAACGTTTACTGTCATCGTCATCACCACCAACTTCCCCCCCTCATCATGTCGGCTGTAGTTGCATCGCCATCATCCCTTGCCGCGCACACGACCCCGTCGTCGTCGTCAGCGATACCATCCTCCTCTCGTCTCCCTGACTCGACATCGAGCGCAAAGAAGCGCAAGATGGACGATGCCCACGACGACGAGGACAACGATGACGAAGAGGACGACCTGGACGAATCTTCGTCCGCTTCCAACTCGCCCTCCAAAGCCGCCAACACTGGCGGTCGCAGAAAGGCCAGCGATGAGGAGCGCAAGGCTCGTCTCGAAGCCCGCCAAGCCCGAAACCGTCTCTCCGCACAGTATTCGCGCGAACGCAAGAAGGCTTATATGGAGCAGCTTGAAGGCTCCCTCAACGCGCTCAAGACCGAGAACACCCTCCTGCGCCAACAGCGTGACCAAGATCAGCTCGTCCGCCAGTCCCTCGAGTCCAAGCTCAAAGAAGCCCAGATCCGTGTACACACGCTCGAGACCATCCTCCGCACCGTCGCCCCGTCCCTTGTTCCGCTACTCATGTCGTCGTCATCGTCATCTTCTGTCTCCCTCCCTTCCGCTTCATTGGCTAACGCCACCTCCTCCACTTTGTCGACGGCTCCGCAGCTTGCTGCAGAGTCGTCCGTCGATCTCGCGTCTGCACTTCTGCAGAATGCAGGTCTGGCCTCGCGAGATGTTCCCTTGTCCGTGCCGATTGCAGCGCCGGCATCGACCACTTCCTCTACCCTTTCGCCCGGCACTCCTGCCCAGCAATCCTCGAACGAAGACGTTCGCCTCCCTGCAGCGGAGGCGACCTGCTCTGACGCACCATCTCTTGACCGAGATGCCGAGCTCGAGCAGTCCCAGCAGCGGATGTCTTCACTCAGTTCGACGGTGTCGCTGGCAACGGAGCAGCCGTGCCCAAGGTCGGAAGCAATGTCGATGCCAACGGCAGCAGCATCGTCGCACAAGGATACCCGCTCGCCAACCAGATCAGCGTCCCCGCAGCAGAGCAGCCGTCGTCGATCGCGGCCGACTCCCGCAGCGCTCTGTGTGAGCCTGCCGCCGAAGCGAAGGCAAGCGGCGCTGCCGTTGAAGCTGAAGCTATCCTCTCCCACTTTATCGACCTCGACGCCAAGTTCGCCAACAGTGACGCGGCGGCTGCGGCTCAAGATCAAGGTGCCTCGGCGCCTGCCACCTCGACTCCATTTGTACCTGTGGGCGAGGTGCATGCAGCAGCAGCAGCAGGCGGCGCTCTGCGATCAGCAGAAGCCCCTGCAGGTGGCCTCGAAGGCCTGAGCACCGTCTTCGCGGGTGCGCATGACGCGAGCAAGGCCACGGACATCAGCCACGGCGACACGTTCAAGTTCAACACGATCACCTTGGCCCCAACCCACGTCGATGGCAGCAAGGAGCAAGATGCGCAGCAGCGATTCGCGCTGCTCAACTCTGCCCTGCTGCCCAGCGAGAGGAGCGTATGGGAGCTCGCCACCGACGCGATGCTCGAGGACATCTACGGCAAGGCGCAAGACACTGAGGCGGACAGCGCCGACACGAGCCTCGCCGCCACGGATGCCTCGTCGCACTCGGAGGGCAGCGTAGGCTCGTCGCCGTTTGACCTGGTCGACCTTGACATTGAGATCGAAGAGCCCATGCAGCTGCACATCCAAGATGACAGCGCGTCGCTCGATGCGTCTAGCATGCTGGCTACGGGCCACCATGTCAAGGCCGAGGCCGGCATGGACTGGCCCGGCCTGCTCGCCTCGTTGGTTGCCTGATCTCGACTCCAGTTCCTCGCTCCTTGCTCCGTGTGTCTGCGTTTGTACATTAACCGTGCTGCCGTTCAGCTCTAGCTTCGCTCCGTGCTCATCAATTTAATCCTGCGTAACCCCGATTGCGAATGTGCTCGAAAGTATGTGCTGTGCGAGATGCAGCGTGCGTTGAAAGAGGGTGGACACAGTGTGATATTAGCAAGTGAGCGTGGAGTGTGTGTGTGCAAAGACTGCAGGGATGCTTGCCCGGGGGGTGGAAGGATGGACGATGACGAAAAGAGGGTAGAAATACAGTTGATGAAATGCAAAAGTGGCAGGGAGGCAAGTGGACTATGTCTGGGAGGGGCCCACTTCGAAGCTGGACCAGTACCACGAGTCGATGATGCGCCAGACGTCCGAGTAGCTCTGGTCGACCTTTACGAAGGAGGTGGTCTGTGGTGTTTCGGCTGCTGTTGGAGAAGCGGCCTTCTTCTCGCGATATCCGCTACCAGGTAGTCGGTGTGTTGGTGGAATGGCGCGGTCGATTTCTTCGCCCACCTCGCGGATCGAGTCAAGAATCGCTTGGGCTTCGCGACGCAATTCGTCGACCGCAAGCATGGTATCCGCTCCCGACTCGGCGCCCAAATCACGCGTCTGACCCAAAGGCCACCGCATCTCTCGAATCGACCGTGGTGCTGACTTGACTAAGTTTGTGGGTGGGAGTGGGAAAGTGGTCGAGCTGTTGATGCGCATACAAGGCGCCACCGTGGCGGTTGAAGACGCCGCAAGCGTCGCAGACGACGACGATGATGATGGACGCGAAGTGGAAAGGAACAGCGGCTGCAACGTCGCCCTACTCCCCCTCGTGCTGCCTTCATCTGCACAAAGTGCGGCGTGGGCGGCGTGTTCGGACCGCAGCGGCGTCAGACGGCCCGTGCTCGCAGCATCCATGCAGGGGCTCGAGAAGCCGCCGAGATCAAAATGAAGCGAGCCCGCCGCACTCGCCCGCCGCTCGGCATCGTCGTCGGTGGGCAGCTGCAGCGAAAACGGATGCTCGCCCAGCGAGTCGTTCGAGTACGTCGAGATCATCGAGTCGCGCGACGCGAGCGAGCGCGGCGAATCATACGGACTCGCACTCGCACTCTGCGGCGCGTGCGGCACCGTGTCCGTGCGCGGTTGTGGCGTGGTTGAAGCCGAGGCCGGAGGCAGCCCAAAGCTACGCTTGCGCGAGGGCGACGGGATGATGTCGAACACCGGCTCGTCGTCATCGCGCTCGCCGAGGCTGATGAAGCTGCGAACGCGGACGTGCGGAGAAGCTGTTGGCGTGTGTCGCGGGGCGCCTGCGCGAGGAGGAAATGTAAAGTGCGGCTCGGAGGACGCTTGGGACGCCGGCGCGGTGATGACGGCGGGTGCGGAGAGCGGTCCTCGAATGGGCTCTTTGGAGATGACGAGTCGGGCAGGGACTGGTCCATTGGCGCCCGCGCGCCGCGTGGTCGGTGCATCAGCAGACTGCCCAGCAGCCGGTGCTGAAGGCTGTTGCGGCCTGGATGATTGTGCTTGCCCAGCGGCAGCATTCGAGGCGACGTGCTCGTCCACGCGGTCCAGCTGGCGGCGACCGACTTTTGGCAAGTCGGCAGTTGGGCCTCTTCCGACCTGCTCGAAGGCACTGGCGATGGCGCGGACCGACTGGCGCTGATTTTTAGACGAGACGCTCGAGGAAGAGTTGTGGCCCATGAGCACCCTCTGGATGGCGATGGAGGAGCCGAGCACTGAGGAGATGGACTCGGAGCGCGACGCGGAGCTGTGTCTGCCCATGCGGCGTGCAGCTCCGTAGCTGGACGTGCGCGACCTGGCGGAGGACTGGTAGCCTACATCGCTGTATTCGGACGCCGAGCCGACACTGGAAGGCGAGCTGAAGGTGAGATCGAAGGAAGAGTCCGAGTCGGACTCGTAGAGGAGGCGATGTTGGAGCTTTGTGAGCGCCTGCGGGTGCTGCGGCGCAGCGTGCTTGATCATGGTGGGGTCCGCGGCCGGGAGCGCGTAGATGAAGGGCGATGTGAGCGCGGGACCGATTTGGGTGGATTCTAGGGCAGTTTCGGTGGCGGGATGACGATTGAAATGGCGGTGCATCATGCTACGAATGACGGTTTGGCGAGTCTCTGGTCAGAGATGGAGGACGAGGGCCGCACGGACGAAAGAGGGAGAGAGAGGGAGAGAACCGCGGAGGATGTAAAGCTGGGAGTTGGTGCTATGCTATGCTAGCGGGCGGCCCGATCTCCTCCTGTGAGCTGGACCTGCGGGCTTGGCAAAGGGTTTTGGTGTAGGGCGCAGAAACCGGTTCTGCGATGAGAAGAGATAGCGCAGCTACTCTGTTGGTGAGGAGATCGAGGTTCAAGTCGAACTCGGGTGAATGCGCGATGGAAGCAGACGAGGATGTCAACGTGAAAGAGAAGAAGGCTTCAGCCGGCTGAAGGTGGTGTGTGGTGCGGGATTGTGTTCCTGGCTTGGCAGGGTATCGAGGGGGGCTTGAAAGCACGTTGCGGGTCGTAGAGTCGGGAGGAGAGTTGGGTGAATGCTTCGGGGAGCGAGGCGTGTGAGAGACAGCTGGTGCAAAGGCGAGCGCGAGCGCAGGCGGTGCACGCGACGAGCTGTCTACGGGAAGGGAAGGGGGGCGTGGTTGGTGGAGCGGTGGAACGCATGAAGGAGGCGAGGCGGCTTGGGACGGTCCAAGGGGAGCAGGGCCGATATCGTGGCTGTCGGCGGTGGCGAGTGCGCATCGGTTGCTCGCGACTGCCACCACCATCTGCAGGCCGGCTTTGGACGCAGAGAGCTCTGCGCAGCGCTGTGCAGTGCAGTTGGAAATGCAGTCCAATCGCAATCAGCTGCTCGGATGCATCATTGACACCGACGCCAGCTGGACTGCAGTGTGAATGAATTCCACCCTCAGAAAATGCACGAGCCTGAGCCGTGTCCGTTTTTGGAGAGGCGAGGCAAGGCGAGGCAAGGCGAGGC